TTGTGCCTTGCCTTGCTGGTCCTTGTTGGGTCCGCTGGGGCCTCTGGGAAGCCTGGGGTGAGACGGAGACGAAAATGCAGGAGGCTTACTTTGGGCGATGGAGAAAAGGAGGAAGGTGCTGTCCCGCCCGCTGAGAAGCCTTCAGGGTGTAAGTCCAAGTCTGGACCAGCGCTGAGGGGGCGCTGCAGAGCAGAGGCGGGGCACGCTCACACGCGTCAGGGGGCGCCCCTGAGCAGAGCCTGTCCCTTAGGAGAGAGAGGCACGCCCACAGGAGTGTCAGTCACTGCCCGCCGGGAGTGACCTCAACGGAAAGATAAGGTGACTCCAGTTAGCAGCCGGCATCCCTGGGGGACTGTCCTGTGCTCTAGGGAACAGCTGGCCTCCAGAAAGCTGACTGAGTAAACACACAACACACACACACACACACTCCCCCCACCCCCACCCCCATGCCTACCCTGGTTTCTTCCCAACCAATCGACAAGTGCGGCAACCAGAGCCAGGCTGCCGGCTCTGCTGCCAAAGCGTTTCATTCGCTCTAGCATCCTCGGTGGGGTGGGAATGGGGTGCAGATGGTTAAGCACTTGACTGCAACCAAAACCCACCCAGGGGTGCCTGGGAAAGACTATGTTCACTGAGCAGGAAGAAAAGGCAGGCTTTGGGGCTCCTGAACTCCGGGCTCTGAGATCTGGCTCCTGGCTGGGCTCGGCTGGCCTCACCCCCTGACCTTCCCAGGCCTCATCTCTTATCTGTCCAAAGAGGGCCTTTGGGTCACCCACCCCGAGGCCCCTCCCAGATCCCAGCCGACTCCCCAGGAGGTGGTCCCACCTGTCTTCGCTCCCCAGTGATCCACTGTGGGCCCCACTGGGGCAGCTGGGGTCTGTCCCTCTGCCGCAGGGACCAGGTGTTGGGTGGCAGGGAGGGGGTCTGACCAGGGGGGCTTGCTGTGTCGCAGGCAGCTGCTGTGACCTTCGGGAACACCTCTGTACGCCCCACAACCGAGGTCTCAACAACAAGTGCTTCGACGACTGCATGTGCGCGGAAGGTGAGGCATCTGACGGGGCTCCCCGGGCTCTGGGACCACGGAGCCTCCTGGTTGCTGGACACTGGTTCTGTAGGAGTCTCTGGGAGAGGGAGGACTGGGTGGCTTGACGTGAAGGAGGGGTGGAAGAACCCCTCGGGAGCGGGAGACACGAGCAAGAACAGCCTCGCCCGCTGTCTCCCCAGTCTGCGAACTCATTTAGCCCCGATCCCTGGCATGGCTTCTCCGCTTTGCTTTTCTCACCTCTCGAAATACAAGCTGGTCTGCTCTCCCGAGATCTGAAGGCGGAGAAGAGAGTATCTCTTAAAATAAGATCCAACTGCAGAAGCCCGGGGCCTTCCCACAGCATTCTATCCCTCCTGGCATTCTTAGGGTGATAACAAAGGGGGAGGGGGGGTCCCAGTGCTGTCCTGGGGAGGGACACAATGACCCCTGCCTCTTCATAGCCTCAGAAGAGCCACTTGAAGCCGTCCCTGCCCTTCAGCACTCGGAGGCCCAGGGGTTCCAAGCTCCAGGGTGAAACCTTCTCTCTCCTTTGCTGTCGCAGTCCTCTCCACCACCCCAGGGTGGGAGCTGCCCTGATCCCCACTGTACATGCGAGCCAAGTGAGGCCCAAATGTACCCAGCTAGGAAGATGGGAGAGTATTTTTGAATGTTCTATTCTAGAAAAGTTCCAAACAATATGCTCGCTTCGTTTGCTAGCAGAGCCAGAACAAATGCCCGCCAAGCAGGGGGCTCATAAGACCTCGATTGCTTTGTCCCACCCACAGTTCCGGTGGCTGGGAGGCGGAATTCAGGGTGTTGGCTGAGCAGCTCTCTTAGAGGAGTCCAGGGACTGTGCACCCAGCTTCTGGCAGCCCCGGGCATTCCCTGGCATGTCCAAGCACTTCATATTCCACCTTCCATCCTGTGCCCATCTCTCCTCCTTCATAGCACCCACTCCTAGTGAGTCAGCCCACCTCACTCCACAACCTCTTGTGGACCTAATCAAGACGA